CTCTCTAAGCAACAAGGTCTTGAGTCAACCTTCTTTCTCTTTCGGCCTCTGACGAGCTACCGCACCCAAACAGAGTGCTTGGAGCATTCTTTCTATCAAGGTTTGATGGCTCTCCCAATTTGAGCTGCAGCAAATAATGTCGTCCATCCATGTACACCAAAAGTCCACTGCGTGGTCGGAAGCGAGAGAATGCCAGCGACATCATACGGGCAAATATACAAGGCNCAAATAATGTCGTCCATCCATGTACACCAAAAGTCCACTGCGTGGTCGGAAGCGAGAGAATGCCAGCGACATCATACGGGCAAATATACAAGGCGCATTCGCAATTCCGAAGGGAAGGCGTTTGAAAACCCATTTCCCTTTGTGTGTTACAAAAGCGGTATTTTCTTGTTCTGCTTCGTCTACTTTAATTTGGTGGTAGGCTGGCTGGATATCGCAGACAATAATAAATTTTGCACCTCCAACGGTATCAAAATGGAATTCAATATCTGGCATGGGCCAGGATTTTCGAATTAAACTCTTGTCAACTGTAGAGCGGTAGTAAACGCAGAAACGAGGAGTGCCATCAGCTTTTGCTACGATGGTAACAGCAGATCCCCACGAACTGGGTCTCTGTTCAATAATCTCCTCGTCTTCCATTTGTTCCACACACTTGTCGACAACTTCTTGTGCTCAAGGATTCGTACGATAGGGAGCACGGTCGACTGGTTTAGTGCCTGGTTCTAGCGGAAAATCTGCCTTGACTATCTTGCATTTTCCGAGCTCTTTTGGAGTTAATGAAAACACATCAATTATATTACGGTATTTCGCGCATAAATCCGAGACTTGCGAGCATTGTTGAGGAGTAAATGTAGTGCTCGTGAACGCGTTTTTCACGGCTCGTTTCAACTCGTCCCGCTTGTGTCTGAATGTGGTTTGGCCGCTATTGACCGCGCTAACTGTTTATCAGCAACCGATTTTACTGGCGATATGTACCCTGAAATAGTGTCACGTGCAATGTGAACGTGTCGTTTAGATGGATTAGCAACTTGTACTGCAGCAGACTTGTCCTTTGGTCATGCGTACCGTTCTAGCGACTACGATTGTACGGAACGCTTCGGGTATATTTTCAGACGTTTCGATGTCTTCAGTGACAATCCGTGGTTCGATCAACGCAGGAGTGTTTGGCTGTGGTGCATGTTCTGTCACGACGTCTCCTGCCATTTCACTTTCGGGGGGGATGCAAAATCTCCTGGAGAGATATATGGGCACCGCTCCTATCGATGGGTCAAGCGTCACTGTGGAAATTTTGCGCTGGGGCATCACTATTGGTGCCCACTTGATTATTCGTGCGTCTGTGGGTTGCCGGAATGTTTCTTGTTGAATCTGTAAATGAGAGTTGCTCACCGCACCAATCAAGGACGGCATCAAAGGCATTCATAATGCTATAATCGAGCAACATCTTGTCCGGACCTAGGTTGGGCAACACGAGGGCCTCCGCTGGTAGTGTGATGTCTCCCAGTGTGAGCTTGAAACGGATGTATCCTAGGATTTCTAACGCTGATCCGTCTGCGCTATTCAACTCAATTACGCCAGGAGGCACAGGTTTCAGAGATAAACGTTTCACGACTGGATGCGGTTTTTCAAAAGACGCTGATACACACGGTACATCAGCTGCTGTGTCGAAAGTGAGGTCAGACACAGCGTGATTACAAACTCGGGCAGGAATTCGCACTCTCTTGGAGGACGAATTCAACGCATTCGGGTGTTGTGGGTATTTACTCAGTGCTGACACATGAAACGCCGCATAGGTGGGTCCACCACTCGATGCACTTGAAACAGAGGCACGTTTTTCCGTGTTATGATGAAATGACGTATTAAAGTCAATACAGATTCAGCTTGCGGGGCTAACCTAGAAGTCGGCGCACGAGTGCGTTTGTTCTTCCTATTTTCCCTTGCGTTGCTACTTGACCGACGATGAAACGGTGCCTGGGCAGCTGTTACCGATGTCTCAGAATTACTGCTAAAATCTTGAACCCGAGGAAAAAAGGGTTCCCTCGATTTGCTACAGTCGTTCAAATACGGGGCTGAGTCAACTCGGGCATCCTGTGCTACATGAGTTTGCTCAGCTAATGGTGTATCAACCTGTCTCCCTACGAGCGAGGAGTCCCGTGAAGGGCCCCGTCATGCTTTAGTCCATCCCTTGTCCTGAGCGTGTTCCTTCTTCAAACCGCACTGTTCGAGGGGGTGGTTGAAATTGCAACCCGGGTAGGGGCACGGTTCTTCTTTCGATGTCGAGGAAGAACTGCCTTTCCCCGTGGTACGCGCTTTTTTGGGGGCGCCCTGACTCGCTGCGCTGTTCTTGCTCGACGGCCGCATCGACTTGAGCCGGGTGACCGCAGCTTGCAGGTCTTTAATGACCGCCGTGATCGAGGACAGGGTCTGCTTCAGCTGGGGTTCAGGATACGCGACAGCAGATCCGGTGTCGTATGTGGGTGACGCTGCGCCTCTCAGATTGATTGTTGGCCTAGTGTTTCTTCGCGCGAAGTCTTGCGTCCTGAAAGTTTGGGGGGTCCTCTCGAACACACTCACTCTACGCTAATGTAAGGTTTTAGGCCGTTCTCAAATGTGGCAGTCATGAAAACGCCCCATGCGTGTTCGAAGTGGCCAATGTGGGGGGGACCTGAGCGAGCAGCCTCTGCCAGGCGTGTGCGGGCCTGAGTAACTTTGAGCTCAAACCCGTCCACTGTCGTCTCTCCTTCCTGCCTGAGAACGGCCAATGTGGGAGGGACCTGAGCGAGCAGCCTCTGCAAGGAGGCGTGTGCGGGCCTGAGTAACTTTGAGCGCAAACCCGTCCACTATCGTCTCCCCTTCCTGCCTGAGAACGGCAATTTCTCTGGCTATTACCGCAAGGCGGTTGGGCGCGGAAAAATGAAAGGTGAAAGCTTGACAGTATTCGTCCCAAGTTGCCGGTGCTCGTGGCCTGACAACTTGTCCTGCGTTCCGCAGTGCGGTCAACCGGTGTGCCGATCGCCATTCGAGAGTACCACCAACCAGTTCTACAAGAGTATCATAGGCTCGGCCTCGAATGACGAAGGGGAGGAATTGTATCGCTCGTTGGTCTACTGCAGATTCGGGCGGATCGTCTGCTGCAACAGAGGCTAGTTTCACACGTGCTCGGTATCGGGTCAGTATCTCAATAAAATCGGAATCTCCTGTTTTCCCCAAAAATGATATTTCTTCAGGAAGGTCGTTCTGGCGAAAAAGTAAATTTCTGGGTGTGCCCCAAGGTATGTGTTGAGGTAGGAGTACTTGTTGTGGGCATAGAAAAATGCGCCAACGGGGGCGTAGATAGTGCTACAGGGTTGCTAGGCCTATGTGCGCTGTCCTGGCTATCCGGAGTAGATGCCGAGTGCTACAGGGTTGCTAGACCTGTAATCACTATTTTGGCTATCCGGAGTAGATGCTAAGTCAGGGGCTAGGTTCCGAGGATGGACAGGTGTGTTCTGAGTGACAGCAGGCAAGATTGGTTGACGGAAAACTAGGCCGGGGGAGGTGCTACCTCCACTGCTCTGATTTCCCTCAACTAGTATACTGCTACGTGCTGTGAAGAAGTATTCACCTGGGCCACCTCTGCTGCAGAGGCCGGAGTCGTGGTGGGGGGAGTTGCGGTGGGTCGGAAGAGGGACACCAGCCACTCGGGTGGGTTGGACTGCTCCTTCCAGTGGTGTGAGAGCATGTCAGCAAACTGGCCCCCAGCGGAGGTCATCAGCGCGTGCCGATCGTCCCCGGACACGTTCTGCGACCGGGAGCCCTCGAGCAACTGGTACATGACGTGCCGTTCGCCTTCGTTGCCCCACTCCGCTTGGTCGCCGTCATTGGCACCCTCGTCACTGCCGGTCTCTGTCCCCTCGGGGGTAGCGCCTTTCTCCTCGCCGGTGGCTGCTTCGGCCTCCTCGGGAATCGGCTCCTGTTGGGAGCGATCTCCCTGAGAGGGACGTTGCACAGTCACACGTTGAGAAGGGGTGCCCCTTCCCGGTGGGGTTGTTGTTGTTGTTGTTGTTGTTGTTGTTGTTGTTGTTTTTCTTCA